TATATTTTTATACACAATATCCTTATTTTTTTCAATTATTCATCTTGTAATGACCAACCCATTTTTTTTTTTTTAAATAATGTAGACTACATCTTATGATAAACATCTGAGATCTGATACTGTACTTGTTTCCAGTTTTATTGGAGGTTGGAGAGAAAGCACAAGCATACATTTGGTAAACATTTTAGTTATTTTCAAATAAATCTTAGAAAAATTGCAAATACAAATTATTTACACTATGCACATCAAATAAATCTTTAAAACCTGTCTAGATCACATCAAGTATTGGTTCTTATGACATTAACTGCTATGAGTTCCTCAGCTCCTCTATGTGATGGATCAGTTCTTGTGGAAGTCCCAGCTCAGAAACCAGATCCATGCAGCGCCGCACAAGCAGGTCCAGACCCTCGTGTGACCTGGAGGGGAAACCACTGGGCTCAGAGCTTAGATTGTGCTGATGGTGAGAACTCTCCAAGTCCATTTTTTGTTCGCTCCTGCAGCAGTCCGTGTCTTCACAGCCTGTTCCGCCGCAGCCCAGACCGGGCTGCTTTACCTCCAGATCCTCCATGCTCTCAGAGACGTCGCTCACACTAGGAGGAGGATTCTCCAGTGCTTTCCTAATGCCGTCTATGATTCCTTCTTCGTGTTGCGTTACTAGTTGCAAAAGGTCGATGACACCGGCTGGGACAGGCTTTTCTGGATGTTGGATCTGGCACCAGCACCATACAGCGCTGTGAATGGACACACAAAGAGGATACAGAGTTAGATACACAATGACACAAAGAACTGAGCAGGACGGGCTTTCACTGGGCAGGGGAAGAGACGACAATCAGGGCTGGAACAAAAGTCAATGGGGATGTTTTACAAAATAAGATAGAAAACAAAAAAGGTTGTGGTTATGGTCAAAGGTTGCATGATCTCAGAGAATTATGGACCTGATATCAACAAGGATGTTTCCAGGCTTTATCTGAAGTGTTTTTTCCAAGTTGGAATGATTATGCAACATAATAATTTTAAAAATCCACTCCAAATGTGTCAAAATAATCAACCAAGGCTAAAATACAGAGAATACAAACAGCCCTGCTAATATTTGGACCCTTTACAAGATTGTAAAGGAACAAAATACTGTTTTGCCATCAAAACGCTGAGTTATTTGAGAACTTCTCTCAAGAAGGACCAGATAGAGCTAATTTCCATTAGTTGATTTCCTTTTGCTGAATTCAGTTTTTGACATGGTTCTTAAATTTCTACCAGTTCGGTTAAGGAGAGTTTTAGCTCTTGTGTTTTTTTTTTTCAGCTATGACACGTCCTAGATTATGTTCTTCTTAAAAAAGAAGACCAGGATAAGTAGTGTGATAAAACGTTGCAGCATCTCTGGGGTGATGTCATGAAATAGAAGGTGCCCAGTAAAAAAAAAAAAGAAAAAAAAAAAAAAGAGCACCAGAAAACACTTACTTAGGGCCATGACCGGTCTTTTTCATAATCAAGGGCCTGGTTTGGGAATCAGCCTATATAAAATCAAATAAATTATTGTAACGGTGATTGTAAATGTAAGGTATTGAAATTGGTCCAAGGGACAAATGGCTGTTAGGACATATCATTATTATACATTTATTTAATATTACCCCACAAAAACTGATTTTTGTGAATTTTCCTTCTAAAATCAAAGAAAAAAATCCAGTTATTTCATGGAAAATGTACCTAATTTTATTTTAATTTTTTAAAGTTAAAATGTTTATGAAAATCAATCATTATTTTTTGTAGAAGTGTGTCTAAGTCTGCAGATTACCTGTAGGAAACGGAAGCATTCAAGACATTTATGGAAAAATCACCTGAAGACCCCAATGATCATATCTAGTATCTATCAACATCCTGTGCTACCGCCTAAGCCAGCTGCTTTTTATCTCATGGATTTACTTTCATGTGTATTATGTCTGCATTTTCCTGAATTATAAGTAACACCAGGGCTGCAACTAACGATTATTTAGCAAATCGATCAACCTGTCATATTAATCGGATAGCCAAAGCTTTCTTAAAGAAGATTTTTTATTAAATTAAATCAGGTGAAACTAAAACTTTCCCATTTGAGTTTTGAATAGAGCATATTGACAGATAAAAAATATGTTTCCTTTATCTTAATGCGAAAGGTTGATATATTTCTTTTACAATTTTGGTAGAATTACTAGTCTGAGTTCCTCTGTCAGCTAAAAGCATGTTTAAGAGTCTCTATAGTCCAAGATTATTAAATTAGTTGATTATTTCAATAATCAACGAATTGATCCGATTAATTATTTCTGCTCTAAGCAGCACCACTAGTATTTGTAAATATAAAGTGTTATTATCAGTATTGTGTCATATTTTTACCTGACAATCCCTTTGAGGCGACCCACAGCCACAGTTTGAGCTGCTCCTTCTCTGAAGCCCTGGTTAAATCCCACCTGTAGCGAGGCCTCCTCTCCAGCACTGACTCCGTCCACATAGCCATCCTGTTCAAAACACCCAGCGGTGGAATAAAACGATAATAAAGCACCAACCAGACAGAAAGTAAGCAGCTTCTTCCAGTCGGTGTAGCAGAGACTGATGGGAGCTAAAGCTAACCTCACCTTGATGCGTTTCTTCATGTTGGATGTCCATTCTTTACTTTGTAAATGAAGTTCGTCCGCATTCTCATCAAATACATCTTCACCGCCGAAAGACGCAGATTTTAGCCAAGACATCATGGATTCAGGTTAACAACCCTCATGTGTAGAACTAGCAACGTTCCCACACGTTTAGAGCCGGTGCAGTAGAGGAAGATTTAGATACCTCAGTGTTACAGCGTTTAAAAATGATGTCGCCACCTGCTGGCCTGGAGCGCAGAGCAAGAGCAACCCCACTTCTTCTTCTTGAATGTTTAATGGCGGTTGGTTAAAACGTTAAGTGAGCATTGCCGCCACCAACTGGTAAGGAGTGTGGACCACACGGCAAAAGACAAAAACAGAGAAAAAACTATGTTATACAATTTAATGGGAGGATTGATGCACCTAAATCAAGGAACCTGATATCTTCTGCTTCCTGATTCCTTTTGCAGTAAATCAACAATGTCAAGTTTTATTTTCATAACCCTTATGTCCACCTATTTTAGAGTATAATAATAATGATATTAATAATAATAACAATAATAATATATTCCGTAAAGAGAAAGGCTGAGTTAAATCAAGTAATCTGGTTTTAAAAGCAAACTTTATGTAAATGGGAAAAGTAAATTAAATATTACTTAAAGAGTCGATATTAACTATTGGCTTACATAGTTTGGTATGCAAAATTAGATGAGCTTTATTGATCTCACAGTGGAGAGATTCTCTGGTCACATATTGGCATAGTAATTAAAGAAGGTGCAAACAAGGAGGAAAAGGTGCATTAAGAATAGACAACATATATACAGTAAATCAAGGTATATACAGTATATCAAGATAAATAAGGTGTAGGTGCTAGTGTACATGTATCACACATCACACAAAAGCTGGAAAATATGCAAGTTCCAGTAGGTGCATATATTCATCAGAAAGAATGCAAAGGAAATACTATTAATCATTAAAAAGGTGTATTTTTGCTGTTTCATGTGTTACTAGATATGTTTGTTTGAAAGAGAAGATGGATGTTATTCTTTTAGCATGCTTTACCAAGTCAGTCACATGTGAATTACCAATACATGAGCACACAATAAATTACTCTAGAACCATCACTATTTCTCAAAAAAAAAAAAAAGAAGAAGAAGAAGAAGAAGAAGAAAAGGAACTCGGTTGGCACCTTATTTTGAAAACATGAAATACTCCTCTAGTGAGGAAATCAAGAAAAGTTTCTCTTGTTTAGAGGTGGAATTTAAAACCAGCGGTCTAAGCTGGACTTCATATTTCATTTAATATCCCTTTGGAATCAATAGAGTATTTTTCAATCTAACTGAACTGATACCACCATTGTGTGTAGAGTGAAATAAAGTAAGTATTTGCAGTTTGAGTTGAAGACTAACCAGGCCATGATCACTTGAAGAAAACCAATGACTATTTGTGTTATTGAAAATGTGAAAGAAGGTGTGCATATCAAATAGTTAAAACTTTAGGTGAAAAAAGAAGGCAACAATGCAGTCTGAAACAAATGGATGACATCCTTCTTGGAGGCACATGGTGGTGGCAGCATCATTCTTTGGGATGCTGTACTTAAAATAAACTGGTCAGAGTTAAGAGGGAGGATTGATGCACCTAAATCAAGGATAGTCCTTAGCTGAAAGAGACTTTAGAAGAGACTTCGAAGGGGGTCTACCTGCGAGAAAACCTCAAGATCCAAAGTTAAACAGTTTAAATCAAGTCATTTTTTTTTAAAATGGTCAAAAATCTAATTAAACATCTGTATGTAAGAGTAAAACAAATTATGCAGTTTTGGAAAGAAGCATGTGAAAAAGAGTCATATTTGATGCAAATAATTTTTACCCAAAAAACAATGTAGCTGTAATAGCATAGAAAGGGCTTTCTACAGAGTATTTGTCTCTGTTGTACGGAGCTTACTGATCCTTTGCTAAACACAACATGATCTGTGCACCAGAGTGCCCGTAACCATGTTTTAAAATTATTCAGGGATCAGAAAGATCTCAAATCTACCAACACCGCAAAAATGATCTAGCAATAAGTAAAAATGTCTTAAATTAAGCTGATTTGCCACTGGAATAGTATTTTTACTCTTAAAATAAGATAATTAGATAATATGCACTTGAAATAAGAGGATGCAATTGTTTTTATTTTTATTTTAAATGTAAATTGTCTTGTTTCAATCGCAAAGTGTCTCACTTACCTCTTCAATTCAAGAAAAAATGCACTTATTTGAAGGAAAAAAATACTTATTTAGATAAAAAAAAATTTGCAGTGAATAATATTTCAAATATGGAGTTAAAATGAACCGATGACCCAAAATATAAATGATCAGAATGATTAAATTTGAAATTACAGTGTTGGATTAAAATAAACAGCTGTTACTTTTTTTTATTCCTCTTTTTCCTTCACATTTCTTAAAGTTATGTTTCTTCAACCATTCGAAAATGCACCTTGCTCTGGTTTTAAGTTATAGTTCCATCTTGTGATAATATTCAAATTAATCAAAACAGTCTAGTTTTAATCTCAGGTTCCTCAAAAGGTTATTTATGCATCAACAATCTCTGCAAAGTTACATTTTTGCGAGCCAAGTAAGACGATTATCAGGGCAATGACAGGTAATACCTGCAGGGGGCGCTGCAGCCTCACTTTATATAGCAAACCGTGTTACAGCTGCAATACTTGATAAGATGCAATCAGTTCTTTTAGGTTCTGTTTTTCTGTCTTTTCTTTGAAATCCTCGTGATAAAGGTATCTTGATCAAATGTGTAAAGCAGGTAAGATTTTATTTAGGTGATTTCTTAAAGCATTTTACACTTTTATTAGACAGAGGAATGAGAAAGAGCTCAAAAATGTTATTTTTCATTTAACATTTAATTTGGTGGTTTTAAAAGGTTTTGATCAATCTAAAGATATAAATGTGGATTTAAACAATTTCTAATTTTTTAAATAAATTGCATGGCATTCATTTAAAACACATTATTAAATGCTCATGTGCTTTAAGTAGGCTATTTCCAGAATAAGGGAATAAATGGATCCTTGGACACAGAAGATGTAT